AAATATTCAAAGTGATGAAAGGCAAAGACCTACAACCAAGATTACTCTACCCATAAAAACAATCATTTATAATCAAAGGCCAGATAAAAGAGCTTCCTAGACAAGAAAAAGCTAAACTAGTTCATCACCTCCAATCCAGTATTACATGAAATATTAAAGGATATTAAGAAGAAGAAACAAAGACAAAAATTATGAATAAAGTGGCCATAAATACATATCTATCAATTGAATCTAAAAAACAAAATAAATGAACAAGCAGAAGAGAAACATACTCATATGTACAGAGAACATTTTGATGGTTGCCAGATGGAAGAGTGGTTAGAGGGATGAGTGAAAAAGGTGAAGAGATTAAGAGTGTAAATTGGTAGTTAGAGAATAGTCCCAGGGATGTAAAGTACAGCATAGGGACTATAGTCAATAATATTCTAATATCTATGTATGGTGTCAGATGGTTGCAAGATTTATTGGAATGATCACTTAGTAGTTGTATAATGTCTAATCACTGAGGTATACACCTGAAACTGATATTTTATGTCAACTGTAATAGAAAACTACAAAATGATTTAAAATAAAATTATTCTTGAACCAAAATAATCTTTAAAAAAGAGAACATAGTTGGTACACTCAGAGTCCTGATTTTAAAACTGGTAATCAAGATAACGTGATATTGGCATAAAGATATATAGTATTAATGAAATAGATTTGAGAGTTCAGAAATAAAATCATGTCCCCATGATTTCAAAAGGGTACCAAGTAAATTTAATGGGGAAGGAATAATTTTTTTCAATAAATGGTGTTGGGACAACCGACTATAACACACAAAAGGAGGAAGGTAGACCTTTACATCAGATCATGTACAAAAATTAACTTAGAATAGATCAATGACCTAAATGTAAGGGACAAAACTATGAAAGTCTTTGGAAAAAACATAGGGATAAATCTTTGTCCCTTTGATTTGGCACTGGATTTTTTTATATGATACAAAAGCACAACATAGAAAAAAAGTACATAAATTAGACTTAATAAAAAATTTAAAACTTTTGCTTCAAAAGACAATATATCAAGAAAGTATAAAGACCCTTGGAATTTCATCTCATGGGACACGTAAATTAATTACTAAAATTCTGCAGCACTCCAAAAAATATATTTTTGCTGATGTGACCAAAAAAAACAGTTATACTTTTGATTGATTTACAAAAGTAGTAATAATAATAATTACCTACCCTTTTGCTCCAAAGTGACTTTTTAAAAATATTTATTGATTGATTGATTGATTGACAGAGAGAAGAAAGGAGAGAGAGAGAGAAACATTGTGTTCCACTTATTTATGCATTCATTGGTTGATTCTTGTATGTGCCTTGACTGGCACTGAACCCAAAACCTTGGTGTATCAGAACAATGCTCTAACGAATTGAGCTACCCAGCCAGGGCCAAAGTGACTTTTTAAAAAATCAGGTGCCTATATGTGTAGATAAGGATTTCTGGTACCAAAAATTAACCAGTCACAACTTTATTATGAAACATGACCAATAAGATGCAACTCTATTATTATAACATATGTGTGTGCGTGTGAGTGTGTGTGTATATATATAATTTTTTTTCCTTTATTGATTTTAGAGAGAGAGCAAGTGAGGGGGAGAAAGAGATAGAAACATCGATAAGAGAGAACATAAATGGGCTGCCTCCTTCATGCCTCCACTGGTGATCAGGCCCACAACCTGGGCATGTGCCCTGACCAGGAATCTAACCGACGACCTCTTGTTGCATGGGTCGACGCTCAACCACAGAGCTACACCAACTGGACTAACCTACATATTTATGGTTTAAGACTGGGCATTCACACCAGATGGCTATTGTTCTCATTTTTTTCTTTATTTTCTCCTTTTTCCCCCCTTTCTTTCTGTTGTTGTCTTTTTTTTTTTTTTTTTTTTTTGATAGTCAAGGAAAAGAAGTCTGTGTCCCTGACTAAATAGTCAGGTATTGCACATTTTAAAAATTCTTGAGGCACACCAGTTGAAATTCTCTGATCTAGAGTTATATAAACAGTTCTTATAACAACCAAAAGACAACTCAATTTAAAAATGGGCAAAACATTTGAATAGGCATTTCTCTGAAGAAGATATACAAATGGCTAATACAACATGTGAAAAAATGCTCAACATCATTAGTCATTCGGGAAATGTAAATCAAAACCACAAGATGCCACTTCACCCTACTAGGATTAAAATTATATCTACATGTATATCTATCTATCTATCTATCTATCTATCTATCTATCTATCTATTTTTAAGTCAAATAATAAGCATTGATAAGAAAGTGAAGAAACTGGGATCTCATGCCGGATTGGTGAGGAATAAGGTGCAGTCATTAGGAAAAATATTTTGGTGGAGTCTCAAAAAATTAAACATAGAATTGCTATATGATTCAGCAATTCTACTGCTAGCTATATACTCCAAAAAAAGAAAAACAAGTACTCAAACAGATATGTGTACACCCAGTTTAATTTGCAGCATTATTCACAGTAAGCAAAAGATGAAAACAACCTAAGTGTCATTAGCCTAGATCAGCAATTTCCAACCTGTGTGCTGCAAGAATTTTAAAAACATACAATACCTGACTATTTAGTCAGAGGCACTGACCTCTTTTCCCTTAGACTGTCAAGTTAAAAAATAACAATAGCCAGCACAACAACAGCTATCACTGTGAATGAATTAAAATTACACCTATATTTTGGTCAGATCAACAAAAAATATATTTGTTGGTGTGCCACAGAATTTTAGTAATTAATTTATGTGTGCCATGAGATGAAAAAAGGTTGAAACTCGCTGGCCTAAATGCATGAATAAACAAAATTGTGGTATATAGATACAACAGAATATTATTCAGCCATGAAAAGAAATGAAGTCCTGGCATACGCTATAAGATGGATGAATCTTCAATATATTATTCTAAGTGAAAGAGTCCAGTCACAAAAGAGCATATATTACATGATTCCATTTATGTGAAAATGTCCAGAATAGGCAAAACTATATAGACAGAATAGTCAATCAGTAGTTGCTTAGGGCTGGGGTGATTTGAGGTTGATATGTAAAGGGTATTGCAGAGTTTTTTGTTTTGTTTTTTCTTTATTAATTTTAGAGAGAGAAGAAGGGAGAAGAAGGAGATAGAAACATCGATGAGAGAGAACAGTGACTGGCCGCCTCCTGCCCCCCACTGGGAATTGGGCCCATAACCTGGGCATGTGCCCTGACTGGGAACTGAACCAGTGACCTCCTGGTGCACTGGTTGACGCTCAACCACTGAGCCACACCGGCTGGGCCAGAGTTTCTTTTTAAGGTGGTAAATATGCCCTAAAATTGACTATGGTGGCACAAGTCTGTGAATAACTAATACATACCACAGTACTAAAATAGCTGATCTTTAAAACACACACCAACCCTCTCCCTTGACTCCATATGTCCTCCCTCTCACAGCCTCCTCTTGAGAGGTTTTAACTTTTTAAAAGAGCTGTTTATTCTTATTATTTTCACTTCACTGTCACATTGTAAATCAACTCCACATGGCTGCAGGAGTAAATACGACACTCTTAAATACTTCTATGATTAAGTCATAAAAATAATGAATTAATAAATTCTGAATGTGTGCTTCTAGGCACTAGGATATAAGATAAAATAGGACAAGACTTCTTTTCTCAAGTGAAGACACAATACAAAATAAACAGATAAGATACACATTTGTGTAAACATTAAAAAGTGATGAGCCAGAAAATACTTGCTTCCCATTGGACTAACTAAAGGGAAGGGCTATTCTCAGGAGGCGCTGTTTAAGTTAAGATTCTCATTACCAAGGATCCAACCAGAAAAGATAAAAGGGAAGACAATGCCAGGGAGAGGGAAAGCAGGTGCAATGATGAAAACAGGGTGTTGCTTTTGAGGAACTGCATGAAGTCCAGGGCGGCTGAGTAGTAGTGGATCAGGGGAAGAAAGGGACAAGGTGAGGTCCCAGTGATAATGAGTGTTCAGGGACCTGTAGGGGTATGTAAGGCAGGGTGAGAGTTTTCACCTTGCTTCAGCTCAATCCCTAAGTACTCTGTGCACATCTCTCCTGTTACACTTAATCCTCTGTATCCACCGCTTAGACTGTGCCTGCCTTAAAGAAAATTAGTTTCATATTCATCTTCATTTTCAGCTGACCAGTGCCTACACAGAACCTCAACAGAAGTTTCCTGAATGAACAGGCCACATATATCGATGCTGTGATAAGGTAAAAACCCTAAACCCTGTAAGCCCTGCAAGAAATTTTGAATAAAGTTTAAACAGAAGAGAGAGATGTTCTTTCTAAAGATAGTATAGAAATGACAGCCAGGCTAATTTCATTTGAATTCCCCAGGCCAATCTGGCTATTTCTCCCAGAGACTCAAGTTTCCCAAATTTAAATCAGCTAAAGAGAACATCTTCCAAACTTAATTAAACTCATTCCCAAAATCTGAAAAATAAAACCGTCAGCAAAGAAGAAGCTTTTTCATCTCTGATTACTGCATGATAGTTATTAACAGGTTCTCTAACTCAAACCTACTCCTAATGTATTCCAAGCCATTGTGCTGAATCAGGTTTCTCCCTCAACTTCACCAGGGAGCTATCATATACAGAAAGAGAATCACTGTCAGGTTATAACTTTAATAACCTAAACAGATCAAGTACTAGCTTTTAAATAACATACAATAACAACTCATGCTATCCTTATAAATAACTTACATTTTATTGCCAAATAATTAGCTTCATATTTGCATGTTGGATTTTCTGTTTATACTCCACGGGATTCTGCTAGCATTCTAGCTGTAACATTATTATTTGGAAAGCTGATTCTAACACAGTTGAGACAAAGCTAACTAAGTAACCATTTCAGAGCGTCAAACCACACTGCTGTGTAAATAAATAAAGCGTTATTTCTTTAGCAGGAAAAACAAAACAAAATAACACATTTTTTTCAGTTGGCTTACTGTGGCCTTGAGGCTTCTGCCTGGTCTGTCTGCAGTTTCTCTCCTCCTTCCACTTCCATTGTGCAGTAAACAATCCGATTGGGAGCGACTGACTTCAAACCCTGCACTTCCATTATGACAATCTAAAGATAAGAAAAGATTTAAACGATATGTCAAGTTGACGATGTTTAGCTATAGACAGCAGCATAAACTACAACTGGATAGACCAGTTGAAAGAACATAAATGGAATTTTACCTTCCCAAGAATCCCTTTATTTACTATCCCTCTATTCATGTGAGGGATAGTAAAAAACATTTTGAGCAAGTCTGGTATCTGAAGAGATTATCTCCTGACAGCAATTAAAGTAAGGTTCAAGTCTCTAAATATAGCCCTCAGTGAATAAAGTGAGATTTAAACTCAGATCCTTAAACAAGTATGGCAACCCTTTATGAAGGAAAGCAAAACGACAAATGAAAATTCAGTGCAAGTTTCACATAAAGCGTTATAATATTTATTACTGGCAGACACTGTCACCATCAGAAAATATACTGATGTCAATATATGACAGCATCAGAAATGTTTTATACTCACTTATTTCAGATGATTATTTATAAAAGCATTTTCTAAAGAAAATCAAACTATTTAATTTTAACTGTTATAAAAAGAATTTATAAAAGTATTTATAAAAAATTTCTTTATGGGAGGAAGTGAAACTGTTTTTATTCGCAGAGGACATGATACTATATGTAGAAATCCCAAAGACTCCATCAAAAATTTACTAGACTTAATAAATGAATTTGGCAAAGTAGCAGGATACAAAATTAACGTCAAGAAATTGATGGCATTCTTATACACCAATGATGAACTCACAGAAAGAGAAACTAAAAAAACAATCCCATTTACCACTGCGGCAAAAAAATTAAGATACCTAGAAATAAACTTAACCAAAGAAATAAAGGACCTATTCGCAGAAAACTACAGGTCATTGAAAAAAGAAATAGAGGAAGATATAGAAAAGTGGAAGCACATACCTTGTACATGGATTGGAAGAATTAACATCATTAAAATGTCCATACTACCCAAAGCAATCTATAGATTCAATGCAATCCTCATCAAAATACCAACGACATACTTCACAGAACTAGAACAAATACTTCAAAAGTTCATATGGAACCAAAAAAGACCTCGAATAGCCACAGCAATCTTAAAAAAGAACAACAAATTGGAGGAATCACATTACCAAAATTCAGGTTATACTCAAAAGCCACTGTGGTCAAAACAGCCTGGTACTGGCACAAGAACAGGCAGATAGATCAATGGAACAGAACAGAGAACCCAGAAATGGACCCAAGGCAATATGTTCAATTAATATTTGACAAAGGTGGCAAGAGCATACAGTGGAGTAAGGACTGCCTCTTTAATAAATAGTGTTGGGAAAATTGGACAGCTACATGCAAAAAAAAATGAAACCAGACCATCAACTTACACCATACACAAGAATAAATTCAAAATGGATAAAAGACTTAAATGTGACTCATGAATCCATGAAAATCCTAGAAGAAACTGTAGGCAATAAAATTTCAGACATTGTGCACAGCAGAATTTTCACTGATACATCACCTAAGGCAACATAAACAAAGGAGAAAATGAACACATGGGACTACATCAAACTCAAAAGCTTCTGCACAGCAAAAGATACAATCATCAAAATGAAAAGGTAACCCACCGTATGGGAAAGCATCATTGCCACTGATGTATCAGATATGGGGTTAATTTCCAATATATATAGAGTGCTCATACAACTCAACAAAAGGAAGACATAGAACCCAATTAAAAAATGGGCAGAGGAACTAAATAGACACCTCTCCAAAAAGGATGTACAAATGGCTAAGAGACATAAGAAGAAATGCTCCACATCACTAATCATCAGAGAGATGCAAATTAAAACAACAATGAGTTATCACCTCACACCTGTCAGAATGGCCGCCATCAACAAATCATCGAACTACAAGTGTTGGTGAGGGTGTGGAGAAAAGGGGACTCTAGTACACCGCTGGTGGGAATGCAGACTGCTGCAGCCACTATGGAAAACAATATGTTACCTCAAAAAATTAAAGATTGAATTGCCATTTGACTCAGTGATCCCACTTCTAGGAATATACCCTAAGAAGCCTGAAACACCAATCAGAAAGAATATATGTACCACCATGTTCATAGAAGCAGTATTTACAATAGCTAAGATCTGGAAACAGCCCAAATGTCCTACAGTAGATGAATGGATAAAAAAGCAGTGGTACATATACACAATGTAGTACTACACAGCCGTACAAAAGAAAGATCTCTTATCCTTTGAGATGACATGGAGGGACCTGGAAAGTATTATCCTAAGCGAAACAAGCCAAACAGAGAAAGACAAATATCACATGATCTCACTTATTTGTGGAATATAATGAACATAACAGTCTGAGGAACGGGATAGTCCCAGAGACATGGAAGTGGGGTACAGACTGACAATCCCCAGAATAGGGGGTGATGGGGGAGAGATAAACCACAGAACTTATATGCATGTTTGCATGAGCAATGGACATGGACAACAAAGCTGGGGACAGGGCAGGGAGGGTCGGGGAGGTGGGAGTTAGTGGGGGAAAAAGGAGAAACATCTGTAACAAAAATAAATTAATTAATTAAAAAATTTTCTTTATGGCCATTTTATATTTTATTACCAAAATAATATGAAAAATATAACTTACCACTGAGCATCTTAATACTAATTTGCAAAGGAAAAGATAATTTTTCAACCATTAAAGGCATGTACTAATTTAGTGCAGTACACTGGAAAAGGGTGCAGAGACTATTACTACCTTATGCAGCTATAATTCCTGAGAAAAAGGGATACATTTTTTCAAGTGTGTTTTTTATGATTTTATAATAGTCTCCCAATCTTAAAAGATTCTTGCTTGATGTACACATAACATATGATTATTTGCCATAGTTTTTCTTCATCAAATTTGAATCATGAAGTTCCCTAAATTCTCAAATTTTAATTTATAAAATATACTCAATTACATTTTCATATATGCATTCATTTCCTTTTGATCTCATGTTGTATTTGTATAAACAAGATTAATAGTATTCATGCTATGTAACTACCAAACTCTTCACCAAAACATCATCTTTATAATTTATTGATCAGTTAATACATTATTAAATTCATAATACTTTTCATAGAGTTGTTATATGAATCTCAAGAACAAGGTTTCAAAGAAACTATCTTAAAATAACTTTTTTCTTTTAGCTCTGGTATAACAGAAGTTTTATGTTTATATATACAAATGCATTTTGCTTTGTTTTGTTTTGTTTTTCATAAAACTATATGGAAAACTGATCACAGAAAAATTAAAATCAAATTCAGGGCCATTTTCCTTCTTCAACCAAGCCCTGTCTTATTGTAATGCATAGTAATATATGAATAAAAATAAGAACTTAACTAAAAGAAGACTAAGAGAACCAGCTATTATCTTTCACAGTGGCTCTAATACTCAAGGAAGTTGGGGTTAAGTACTAAATCTTGTTTAAGGAAAATAAACTAAAAAGTTATGCATTTTTAATAAATCAAATTTGCTGTTAGTGATATTGAAAATCATTAGAACCAGAATCTGAGACCAATGAAATATATAACCATATCAATTAGCAGCCACCTACATATCAACTTACCACCATGACTCTAAAGACGTCTTAATTCAATGATAAAAATTTTTGATGGTCATTTAAAATGTATAAACAGAAGAATTGTGTAACACAAGGGAAGTCTGGAAATCTTGACGGCATTGGTTCATCTTTGGGACTAGGATGCTTGCACTGCATCTCTCTATACAGTGTTTAACAACCAAAGTGCAAGAGAGAAGGAAGAAAGCATCTGCTGGACACTTGCTGTCACCTCTGTTACAAGCTGCTGTAAACAGTATCTCCTAAAACGTACAACTTGTGAAACCGCATTCTCCTCAAAACAATACTCCCATCTGTGCCGGGGATGTTTTATCCTGCAGAATTGCCACTTTCAAAAAGATGTAACTTCTGTTATGAATCCATACACATAAATAAAACAACACAATTCTACAGATCTAATTGCCAAAAGGAAGAAAAAGAAAACACAGCCAGTTTCAATCATTAATGATTTGCTTTTTCTGCCATAAACTAAGTGTAGAAATATTTCAACAAAGAAATTTAAAACTGTAGCTCCTTAAACTCCAGGGTACTTTTCTTTGTCAATCAGCAAACTCAAATAGCAGCACTGGGACCCGGCAGAGAGAGAATATAACAATGCAAGGAGGAACTACAAGCTTTAATATAATTTTTGAGAGAGCTATACATTTCAGCTTGATATTGCTAGGGTGTATGTGTGTTGTATATAAAAGCATAGACATATACGCAAATCAGCCCAAATACAAAGATTAACAAAGAAGAAATGTAATCATGATGAAAGGCTGCTGTAGTAACAGTCAGTATCAATATCTGGTTTCCAGCGATTTGTGTGAAAGGGATGAAACTCTGAAGTCTTAGAGAACACAATTTCAAAGGCATGACATTTATTTCGGTTCGCTATAATATTGATTGTTCCTATAATGAAACGGGATATTCTGGAAAGGAAGACTTCTCTACTTCTCATTAGCTATATGCACCCAATACGGTGCAGTACAGCTGGTTTATGTGATTATGTGATTTGATTCTAGAAAGATGATGTCATAGGGGAATTTAATTTAAAAAAAACGGGGGGGGGGGGGCTAACTGAAAGCCCGAGAGGAGTTCCCAAATTGCAGAGAATGCAGTTATATGTTTAAATCCTATTTCCACCCCCGTGTTTGGGTGTTTCCTGTAACAATAACCTAACACTAGCCTACGATGACACAAAAAAGACTTCCCTCACAACTTTTATTGTTTAATCCTAATAAGTGCTGTTATGTTTAAAGTTTACATTAATTTGCATTCACAACCTGATTGCCTTGCAAATGAAGAGCAATTTAACTTCTTCAAAATATACTATACTGTTTTAAATTTGAAAGGTTACCACAAAAGTCAGCAAAAATGATCTGCAGCCTCATTTATGCTGTCAGAGGCCACACGGGATAGAGCCACTTACCTCTAAGGTGAATGACAGCACCACGTCAGACTTTGACAGCTGAATCTCATTCTCATCTCCTATGTCCAAAAATGCAGAATTCTGGGAACGTTTTAATTTTTGTAGTTTAAATTCTGGACCACCTTTCGAAACTGGAAGACTTTCCAGATTGGCCATTAGCAAATTCACTGAAGACCGTAACTCTTCTATATACATATTCTCCATTTCTTTTGCCATAAATTTGGGGAATTTTCTTTCCTTGAAAATAATTTTAAAAATAATGTTACACAAGTCATATTTCCAGTTTATCATATAACATATTTTGTATATAATGACTCGTAGACATGTTGACACTAGATATAATGCATCTTCTTTAGACTCTAAGCTTTAAAAGCCTCAGGCTCTTGCAATTTTGATTATATTTAAAGGTACGATATATACCCTACTGAGGATCATTATGGTACAAAATAAATAACATGATATACTTTTCCACATTAGCTTTATTTTTGATAAGGTATTTGCTTAAGGGATAAACAAACTAAAAATATACATGTAAGAAATTTTAGTGTACACATGAATCTTAATTAGCCACTGTTAGCTGCGAAATGCTTGTGGTATCTGGCCTATGAGAACAATGTTCATTATGTCCTGCTTTCCCTTTTAAGAAACAAATACTTTAACAGCCTCTTTCTTTCTTACCACAGATGTGCATTGTTTGGAGAGTATGCTTTTTATAAATAAGCATTCAAATATATATTTTTTAAAAACCATAATATTAAATAGCAAGATAGTCATATTTCTAAAATTGATTCATTTTCATATTACACAACAAATGTGTCAAGGTCCCTTATGTACATCAATTCAGATTTTCAGTGAAGGCTTAGAAAAATTTAACTTTAAAGTAAAAATGCAATGTATGATAAAAGCTCAAAGTAAAAAGAAAGTAACAGTATCCATTTTAAAGATTCTGTATTTTCTGAGTTACATAAACATTGCCATATAATCCTTCCATCTCTGCAATCAGATTTTTTCTTCCACTCAATTAAAAACAAATTCCAAATATTGATATTTATATAAGATATTGAAAGAGATTGCCAAATTGCTCTTAGAGAAGATTAAACACATTTATATTGCCACAAACAGCAAATGAGGTTTCCTCACATTCTTAGTTCTGCCTTTAATCTTTGACAACCTGGCACTTAGCTCTTCTTTCTTAAAGGCAGAGGGGTACAGAGCTTTAAAATACCAAGTTCGGCGTAACTAACAATCCCTGTACTAAACTGGCTGGGGTGAGAGCAAAGCAGCCATCTTTCAAATGATCGCCTAAATCTCCAGAAAGCCACTGCCTTCGCTAGTGTTTCCTTTGGTATCACTGAAAACATAACCTAAAACATAACCTAAGATCTGCATCTCTCTATGACTGGACCACATCCAGCGTGCGCTCATCAAACTGCAGCTCGTCTCTGACTCACCTGCACCAGTTCATTCTTGGGATGGAAAGAACACTTGGCACAAAGTGAATCAGTCCCAGAGTCTCAAATCAGTCCCAGAGTCTCAGGCCACCTGTTCTGCTTTCCCCCACATAACCTTCACATAGTTCTCTTAAAATAATTTATACATAATCAATATTAAAACTGTATACTTACTATCACAGAATGATTAAATATCTGCATTCATAACCAACTTTCCCCAAAAAGATTAAGTATCCTTTTAATATTCCTCTATAGTTTTAAGCAACATCCCAAAATAGTAAGTTTGCATCCACAGTAAAAACACATAAGTACTCAGTTATAAAATATCTTGATTTCCTTTTGGGAAAAATAATGCTTTGGGTGGTTTTACAGTATATGTACCAGGAAAAAAAAAAAAAAAAATCAAAATAAGCCATAAAAACTAATTTCCACATTTGTGGACCAACTTTAAAAGTTATAATAAAAAGCATCCAAGCCCTGGCCAGTTTGGCTCAGAGGTTAGAGCGTCGGCCTACGGTCCAGAGAGACACAGGTTCGGTTCCCGCTAAGTTTGCAGTTTGTCCCCGGCCCTGGTTGGGTTGTGCGGGTGGCAACCACTCAATGTGTCCCTTTCACGTCGATGTTTCTCTCTCTCTCCCTCCCTGTTTCTCTATCTGAACAAAATATGGAAAAATATTCTCGGGTGAGGATTTAAAAAAAAAAAAAATGCATCCAAAACTCAGAAATAAAGCAAAAAGCTTAGTGGGCAGGTCCTTTCAATGTCATATGGGGGCAAAGGCCATCCAAGAATCATCTGAGGAAATGTCCTCAGTCACACCTTCTGTTTACTATAGGTGACAGGTCCCAGACAGTGAAGTTACATGTTACCTTACAGAATTTTCTGTGAAAAACATTCAAATTATCTGTGTCTGGTAAGTAAAATAATCTATGGTTACAGTTTAAATCTGAGTTGGAAATTAATCATTTTTATATCTCTATGAATCTTGTTTTAGCTTTGCCCCCAAGCACCCAATTTTTCAAATGCTCTTTGACTAGTTTTAACATCTAACTAGTCTGTTCATTAATTTTGCATTGAATGAAATCTTCATCGTAAGTTCGTTTTATATTTGTGTGAGAGTCATAATTGTGCCTTTTAAAAATTATATTTTAGCAAAGCAAAAGGCAAATATGTCACATTTGAAAATTTGGATATGCCAATGCTTTTTCAAGTTTTTGAGGTGTTATTTTATAGAAAAGAGCATTAGTACATGAAAAATCTATTCTTTTGTTGTTGTTGATGACACTATTACAGATGTCCTATTCCCCCCACCTTCTGCCCACCTCCATCCAGCCCCTGCCACCGCTCCCCTGGCCTTCGTCATTGTTGTCTCTGTTCATGGACTGTTTGTGAGTGTATATACATACACACACACACACACACACACACACACACACACACATTTGGCTAATCTCTATTTTTATTTAGTTTTAATTAAAAACATTTTATTCACTATGATTTTTTAATAAAGAGACTGGCAGGAATCACCTAACATAAATATTTTGTCAGCATTTTCAAACTTTTCAGGAAATAAAATATACTAGAATATTTCTCTCTTTGAAAAAAAAGTAACTATTTTAATGCTTTGAGGTTTATTGATAGTATTTCATCAACCTTACTTAATTGGCTTGTATTGCCTTTTTCTTGGAAGCAGAAACAATTATACATCAAACAAGTATACATGATAAATTTGATCTTTAAAATTAAAACAGTATCAAAAATAGGGTTATTCTCTAGTTGAACTGTGAGTCACCAAGTATCTGCTATGTGTTCTACTCTAGGCCCTTAGGATGTTAGTATAAAGATAATGATCAAAAAAGCCTCTGTACTATGGAGCCTATATTTTACTGTAAGGAGACACTCCTCATAAATGAGGAAATCATTTCAAAACGTAGAAAGTGATCAGTGCTATGGAGAAAAAGCCCAGATGGGGACATGGAATGGAAAGGTCTTGTAAATGTAAATAGGATGGTCAGGGAAAGTCTCAATGAAGAGATGACCTTTGAGCATAAAAGTAGATGAAGGAGCCCTAGCCAGTTTGACTCAGCTGTGAGAGCATTGGCCCGTGGACCAATGAATTGCAGGTTCGATTCCAGTCAAGGGCACATACCTCGGTTGCAGTTCGTCCCCAGCCTGGTCATGAGGGAGGCAACCAGTCTATTTGTCTTTCTCACATCGATGTTTCCTTTTCTCTCTATACTTATTTCTCTCTATATATTTTTCTATTTATCATCAGATACCACTCTATCTGATGATAAACAGAAAAATATCCTCAGGTGAGGATTGGGGAAAAAAAAAAAAGTAGATGAAGGAGTAAGATGATTCATTTTATATGTCAACTTGACTGTGCTATGATGCCCAGTTGTTTGGTCAAACACTGGTCTAGATATTGCTGTGAAGATATTTTTAGATATGATCAGCATTTACAATCAGTGGACTCTGAGTAAATCAGATTGCCCTCCCACATGTAAGTGGGCCTCATCTAATCAGTAGAATACCTTAAGAGCAAACACAGGTTTCTTTACGAAGCAGCAATTCTGCCTCAATACTGTAACATAGAAACCTGATCTGCATTTCTTGCCTGCTGGCCAGCCCTGCAGATTTTGAATTCAAGACTACAACATCAGTTCTTACCTTAATTTCAAGCCTACTACTTTGCCCTACAGGTTTTGGACTTGCCAGCCCCCACAACCATATGATCCAATTCCTACAAATTAAATTAATCAATGAGTATTTATCTCTACATATATATTTATATAGACATACAGGCACACACATATTCCTGTGTATATATGTATTGTGTATGTGTATATACACACACACACACACACATAAATTATATTATATCTAACATACATATATATCTATGTCCAGAGAAACAAAATCAATAGGAAATCATATATCTACATTGGTTCTGTTTCTCTGGAGAACTCTGATTAATATGGGGAGCAAAAGCATGTGAATGTCAGGGGCAAACCACTGCAGGAAGGGAAAGAACCAGAGCAAAGCCTCTGTGGCAGGAAGACCAAGAAGGCTGGTACTGCTGGAGGGGAAGGAGCAAACTGAGAGGTTAGCCCTGGCCTGTGTGACTCAGTGGCTAGAGCACTGGCCCACAGAACAAAGGGTGTCAGGTTTGATTCCCAGTCAAGGGCATGTACCTGGGTTACAGGTTCCATCCCCCACCCCAATCAGGGCCCTGTGGGAAGCAACAAATCAATGTCTCTCTCCCACATTGATGTCTCTCTCTCTTTCTCCTCACCCCCCTACCTACCTCAACCTCTCCCTTCCTTCCATTGTCTAAAACTCAATGGAAAAAATATCCTCAGGTGAGGAATAGCAAATAAACAAAAAAGTGAGATCTTAATGGACTACAAGGTCAGAGAAATAGCAAAGACCAGATCATGCAGGACTTTGCAGGCCACTGTAGAAACTTGATATTATGTTACTCTCAGTGAAATGGAGAGAGGTTTTTGTGCAGAGAATCACTAGCTGTTGGTTGATGGGGCAGAGGTGGAAGCTAGGAGTCTAGCCAAAGGACAGAATGATTGTCCAGGTGAGATATCACAGTTATGGGACCAAAGTGATACATGGAGAACAGTGACAACTGTTAAATTCCAGAAATATTTTGAACAGAGATGCAAATAGATTTCCTAATAAATCTGGCATGAGGCATGAGAAAAATAAAGGAGTCATATATTCCAAGTTTTTGCACTAACTGTAAATATAGCACTGCCAAGGACTGGTCTACCTTGACCACTTGCCTAAAAATTGTAACCACCCTCCTTCTGTGCTGTATTTTCTAAATAGCAAATGACCACCTTCCACCATTCAGTTACATAGCACTGGGGATTTCCCAAATAAAATTTAAACTCCACCAGGGCCTAGCCAAAATATTTTTGTCTGGTTCTATCCCAATACAACTACATTTATCTGGATGTACCCCAAGTGCTTAAAACAGTGCCTGGCTATTTTAACAGTTCTTCAATAAATATTTTGGTGAAAATTCTGGTTCCAAAAGGTTAAATAACTTATCCAATATTATATATCTAGGAAACAATAATGATGGATTTGACCACAGGTCTTTCTGGCCCAGTCCACATTTTTTCTAATTATGCCTTGGCTAAAATATTGAAGTCAATATTTCTAGCCCTTGCAACAGATATTTCTGCCCTGTGGTTTTATTATATCATGTTGTGCAGTGTGGTAGGAGGTGTTACTGATTGGCAACTACTAACTATTAATGCACACTTCTAGGTTTATCAGACTGAAGAGGCAGCAGGGTCTAGAGGTTGCCAGGCTGTGGAGTCAAGGACAGGGTTTGAAGTCTGCCTCCACCACTTACTTTTCATATAACCTTGGTGAAGTGAATCATCTTTTCTTAGCCTCAGTCTCCTTATCTATAAAATAAATTCATTATATCATCTGCCCTTGTGGGTGAATAGGCTTAGTGTAGAGACATAATCCAACAAAGTCAGTAGGTTATAATTAGCCTTATAAATATTTTATGAAGATGGCTTAAATTTGGTAAAATTGAAGGAGAAAATTAAACATGCTCTATCTGCTACATCAATAGTCCATTCAACAAAAAGGTATCTTATTTTTGTGGATTTTTTTTTCTCCTTCTGATCCCACTGGCTTTACTTCCTTCTGCACATTTTCTACTTTATCACATTTCTGATGAAACCACCAGGGTCCCCTCAAAGAGAAATCTCTGTGAGTGCATTGCGCATCCTTCTCTACTGACCCAGTCCAGAGGTTACTACCGCACCTCCTCCTCTGCAAACAGGAACATGAGAACACACTGAAAGCTTTCCCTCTGGTCCATGAGCCCTCTCCAAAATTAGCTCAACTAAAAGCATCAGATATTTGGCCAGGCCACTGAAGAAGCAAGTCCAGTCTGTGACAATGGGCACAGTCTACACACAGCAGGCAACATACAAATGATAAGCACAGGTGCAGGGTCCTGCCTCATGGTGTCCGGCAAATCCCTCTGGATTCTCTCTCAGCCTCAGGTCCTGGAGGAAAGCAAAACCCTTCCAACCAGCTGCCAATATAGATTAGGGTTTCAAGGAAAGTGTTCTCTCTAAAGCTTCCAAAAGCCTCAAGCTTCTTGAATTCTTCCTATATTGTCCACATTCAAATTTCTAGAATTATATGGTGCCTCTGTAGAAATCCAGAGAATGGTGACCTGGCAAACTGTGCTGCCAAATACTGCCCCTTCTGTGAATGTAACACTTTAGCCCTCAATTTGTATCATCCTATGACTTCTCCTCTAGAAACTGTCCCTTACACAGAGATGAGCAAAAGTAGGTTTACAGTTGTTCGTATGAAAAAAGACATGCAGGTTATAATTATTACAGTAGCAAATAAACTGTTTCATATACTCAAAACTATAAACCTACTTTTGCCCACCCTGTACAAACTTCAATATCTTGACTTGGGAGGTGATTATTCAGGGTGTATACACACACATCAGGCTGTAAACAAAAGATTTGTGCACTTTACTGTATACATGTTATACCTATTTTTTAATGAAGAAAAATCCCTAAATAGAGAGGATTCTGCCGAGAGAGAGAGGGAGGGAGAGAATCTACTATCAAATATTCAATGTTTTTGCTTAGCAGAAGGGAAAGGAGGAAAAAACTTATTCTCTGAACAATCAACAGCATTATAACCTCAAGTTTACCGGGAAGGACTAAAATGTTTGTACTACTGAAGTAAATTAATGTACCGATTTACTAAAGAATAATTTAGACAATGAAGTCCATTCTCTCTAACACATCTTAAATATTACAAAGAAACTAGTGGCTTTGTTTGAAATCTATTTCTGTTCACAGAAACACAGTGATTGCACAGATAAAGTAACCCCAATATTGTACTGAACACACTCTATCTGCCAGACTCTGTACTAGAAACTTCAAATTATATTTTCATCCACTCAGTCATGCAATCAAATATTAGCTGACCCTACTGTGTGCCAAGCACTGTGCCAGATACTGTGAGGTATAATACAATTTCACAGGAAGGAGATTTTTTTCCCTGATTATGTTATGTTTAGTGCAATATTAAAATTCTTGTAAATTTGGCAGTTTTACGAATGCAAGTATTGTTTTAAGAATAACCTGCAAAAGTTATCATTAAACTTAGACATTTCACATCTAGAAATGGATATGTAAAACAGGCAATATGCTCCATTTAGATAAATATACATTCAGACATTTGGGCTTAAGAGGTATGCACATTGAGAAAAAAATGATAACATTACGCTGGCTTTATCTATACAAAACTCTTTCAGCTCACAGAAATCTAAAGAAAGAATGTACAGTAAGTCAAACTTAGTAATTTACCTTTGCCATTTTCTCTGCCAACTGCAACCGACCATCAAGTTCCCTCCTGATCTGGGCTGCTTGTTCGTCTGCATTATCCAACTTCAAAAAACAAACAAACAGAAATTATACACATGTGATCACTTAATTACAGTGACCTACAGATTAAAGTAAAAACTAAATGACTCAAAACTTTTTAAATAAGTTTGCTCAGCTACCTATTGGAAAGAGAACAGAAAATACTGTTTAATTTGATTGGCAGTCCAATTAAATTTCTTGGGCAATTATCATTGGTTTTTGTTCACAAAAGAAGTTAATAAATCTCTAAGGTTAATAGATCAGTTTGACAAAAAATCTAATTCTAATCATTCTTCACCCAACCTGTACACAATTCTAAACCAAGAAGTCCTCATTTCCTTCAGGTTACATTAAATTCTCATTAAATTTATTCAGCTCATCCTTCTGTCTTCACGAAGGTCAGTCCTAAATAGTTCCAGATAGATCAATCTCTTGTTTTGTTATTTTGAATTCCCAGAATGCATTTCTGGACTGAGAGATACTGAGTAAAGCTTCACTTCTTTGTTCTTTTAAAAAACAGTCCCTTGCCCAGTGGGGGGGCATGCAGGAGGCCAATCCATGTTCTCTCTTATCAGTGTTTCTATCTCTCTCTCCCTCTCCCTTCCTCTCTAAAGTCAATAAAGAAAAAAAGTTTTTTTAAAGTCCCTTCATTTTTATAACAAGTTTGTATTAGTGACAAACTATAAAAGTACTATTTGATTGATATAATTTTCTACCATTCAAATCTTCTTATATGCTTCGTTATAGTACCAACAAAACCACACTGCCAAGAAATCCTCCCCTTCTTTCAGGCTGGCACTGTATTTCCACTCTTGTTCTAAATTTGATTGAAGGCAAGAAAAGCATGCTATTATCATTTTTAAGGTATCTTCCATTTACCTGGAAAATTACTTTCAGTTCTCCACTGAAATAATCCTTCACTTTTCTATAACTTCCTTTAACTTTCCTCATGATTCCTTTCCCCCCAATTATTCATTGAATCATCCTTTATTAGTTCATTATAAAAACTGTTAAACTGAGGCAGACCTATGAGCCATGCAAAATGTGGGAAGCCCTGAGGGCTGCAGATGTGACTCAGACAGCTGTTTATCTGAACACATTCCTTCCCTTCTCCATTCCTATCATTAAGAAACCTGCACACATAATACAACTATCCCTTACTAAAGATCCATCTAAAGACTAAATTAGTACTCAGTTCAACATTAAACAACCCAGGAGAGTTCAGATTAATTTTTCCATTGCTAAAGAATTAACAAACTAACCATATTATATTTTAAAAACCACCTTAAAAAGAAACAGATAAGTAGGAGCAAGCCAGGTCAGCAGGATGGTGTTGTTGGAAGAGAGATGAACAGAAAAGGGGAGGATGTCCCAGTAAGAGGGCACCAAACGTCTGGGGTTCAGGCTAGACATAATGGTTTGGGGAACAGAATACTGCAGGGTTGGGGGAAAGGTAATTTGAGAGGTGGGCCTGGAGAGAGAGGTAGGGCTATTGCATAAGCGAATCTTCATAGCCACATTAGGGAGTATGGAGTTGGTTCCTACATCAATGAGAAGTCATTAAAAAGTTTAACCTCTTTTGTAGAAAGATATAAAAAAAGAAAAGGAAGGGAATTGCATGGAGTTAAAATCTGGTCAGCTGTCATGCAGCTTTTCAGCAGAGGACACAGAAGAGAGGTGGAATATCAGATCATCAAGCATAGAAATAGTAAAATGATGTTTACATTCCACCCTCCACCCTCAAAAAAGATTTTAAGCAGGTGAAAGACATTATCAGATCTGAGCTTTGGAAAGTAAAGATCACTCTGTCTCCAGCACAAACAGGAAGTCTATTTATTTACAAAGATTTATTTACCTTCCTAAAAAATATGTTCCCAAGTTGATTTTAAAAATTAAATTCATTTTAAAACAAGGCTAAAAATAGTCAAGATTTTCTTAAACTAAATCTTTATTGTAAAGGAGTTTCTATGTCATCTCTATGTCAAACAAATACACTTACAAATTAAACTTTATTATAGGTCTGTATGTATATGAAAAAAAAAAACAGTATATGTAGGATTCAATACTGTCCATAGTCTCAGGCTGATCCCCTGAGGGTCTTGGAACTTATCCCCTGTAGGTAAGGGGACTAGTATAATGTCATGTCATATAAATGGCATGCCTATATACCCAGTTGTTCAAGTTCAAAACATAGGTGTTATTATTGACCTCTTTTCCTCACAACCCACATCTAATCCAGTCTTGAGTCATGTAGAGTAAAATCTAGATTCACATAGTGGAGGCAGACCAGAATTCAGGTACCATAAGTCCTTCACCAAGACTCTTTCTACTTTTTATTGTGGTGAGCGTTTCCCTAGCTACTTACTTCAAGTACATCTCATTTTACCAGTTCTGTTGTTCATACAGTCATGGTGAAAGAAAGAAAAAATTGTGAACCCTACAGTGAACTTAGTTTTGCATACCACCCCTACTCCCACCCCAAAAATGAGAGAAGAAAAAAGAAAAGGCTGAATGGGTGGTTTTCAGATGTGAAGCATTAGACTTTAATGTCTCTAGTGCCAGATTTGGGTTATGAAGTAAAGAAAACAGGGATGTGTAGACTCTGGAGTGTGGGAGGGGACAGAGACAAGTCCTCCCTCCACAAAGACTTCACCTTAACTTCATTTTCTTTTACTTTAAATTCCTGATTTCAACACTTTATGTGACAACAGATTACTTACCTCACAGATGTCCTTTCTTGGCACAGAATGTTTTCCAAGTCTTTTAAAGAGGACCAGTCAACCCTGACAATAACAGTGCCCAAATACATCTTTATTCTCTGCAATGCCTCTAGTATCTATTACACAAAGCCTTTTATCACTTATCAACATATTTCACTAGTTTGATAAACATTTAGTACAGAAAATATAGTTTTATTTTCCTCCTGATCATTACACAGGGATTACTGTTTCCACACTTCTAGGCTCAGGAGTTTTTATCTGCCCCCTCAAGAGTTTGTGAACCCATTCAAGTTGTGGAAAAAATTTGGTCAAGATATAAATATGAATATAAATATAAATATAATTTTTTCTCCCTTGGAGAATTGTTTAAATTTCATTGCTTACCTAAGATTCTCAAAGGGGTGATTAATTCAAAAGAGGTAAAGAGCCATGCTCCAGGAGAATCTTCTGTATAGAAGCTTCTATTTATTTGTTCTAAAAGAGGCTGTAATGGCTTTCAAATATAAGCCATGGAAAACGGCCACCTCAGATGTACACATCATCTATCCTACCCGTACCATCAACAAATCATCAAACAACAAGTGCTGGCAAGGGTGTGGAGAAAGGGGGACTCTAGTACACTCCTGGTGGGAATGCAGACTGGTGCAGACACTATGGAAAACACTATGGTGTTTCAAAAAATTTAACACTGAACTGCCATTTGACCCAGTGATCCCATTTTTAGGACTATATGCTAAGAAGCCTGAAACACCAATCAGAAAGAATATATGTACCCCTATGTTCATTGCAGCACTATTGCTAAGATCTGGAAACAACCCAAATGTCCATCAGTAGACAAATGGATAAAAAAGCAGTGGTACATATACACAATGGAATACTATGCAGCTGTAAGAAAGAAAGATCTCTTATCCTTTGAGACAACATGGAGGGACCTTAAGAGTATTATGCTAAGCAAAATAAGCCAGAGAAAGACAAATACCACATGATCTCACTTATTTGTGGAATATAATGAACAGGTGGGCTGATGAACAAAAGAGACCCAGAGACATAGAAAGGAGTATGGTTCAGACTGATAAACCTCAGAGTAGGGAGGTAGGGGGGATGGATGAACTTATATGCCTGTATGCATAACCAATGGACATAGACAACAATGCTAGGGGAGTGGGGCAGTGGGATGAGGAGGGGGGTGTCTGGGGGGGGAGGTGAAACATCTGTAACAAAAATAAATTAATAAAAATTGGAGGAAAAAAAACCTTCTTCCCATTTTCTTGATCTCTGAGAATTAGCCAACTACAAGGTAACTAAAACTCATTTTGTAACAAAAAAGAACATAAGAAAATGAAGTTATTCCCCCATGAAGAGCACATTGCCTATACACCGTTATGCATGAATCAGGTAGCATTGTCTTCTGAAGAAAAAGTTTTTAGAGAACTCCCTTATATCTACCTACTAAATTATGTATGAAAAAGCCTAACTCAGAAATAGCAGTTCTGCCACGGATTCTCATAGATTCTTAAAAATTGCATTTCCCAAACCACACTTTCTTTTGAATACTTAAAAGTAGGGAAAAGATAAATGAGTTAATTAGATATAAAATTACCCTAAATGAACTGAACTAAACTATATTAAATAATAGATCAAATGTTCACAAGCAAGAATATAAGAAATTTAACCTAAAACATAAAAACCCTGGGACTTCAACAGCCTAGAGAATATGCATGCATATTCTCTAAAATGGTAAATATAATTTGGCAAGTTTTTACATGTCATGAAATCTTCTTTAGTATTTCGTTTGTTATTAACATTTTATCTTCTGGACAAAAGTAATAAACTAATAGCTTCAAGTAATTATTAACTAACTATATTAACCCCAATAAAAGAGTTGAATACACAGTCACATTAATAATGAAATACCATTGAAAATGAGAGAGTTTAGCATTGAATAAAATAACACATACACTATCAGTGATATTAGAGAACGTTGTCAAAGCAGATTAGAACTCTAGCCTTGTCAGGACCAATAAGAAGTAAATTTATATAGCACTTACTGTATGTCAGGGACTATTCTATTTTTTTTTAAATTATTAAATTTATTGGGGTAACATTGGTTAATTACATTATATAAGTTTCAGGTGTCCAACTTTATAATACAACATCTGTATACTCCATTATGTGCTCACCACTCAAAGTCTCGTCTCCAATCAACATATATTTGACACATTTTATTCTCTTTGCCTCCCCTTCCGCTCTGACAACCACCATGCTGCTGTCTGTACCTAAGAGTTTGTTCTGTTTGTTCATTTG